GGAGAAGGTGCGCAGCGTACCAAAACCAGGTCACTACGACCTTTATTTGACCTTTACCTTGACCTTGACCATATTTCCCTTCTGCTCTATTACTCGGCCCTTAATTGACCTAGCGCTACCAAACTTGGTACATACTTACACATCTTGGGGAGAAGATGTGTTGCGTACCAAAACCAGGTCACTGCGACCTTTATTTGACCTTGACATTGACCTTAATCATATTTCCCTTCCGCTCTATAACTCGGCTACTAATTGACCTAGCGCGACCAAACTTTGTATACTTACACATCTTGGGGAGAAGGTGTGTCACGTACCAAAACCCCTAACTTGAACTTTAAAGCAACCAATTTTAACATACTTGCACATCTCAGGCAGATGAGTTGTGTAACAAACCTTTGTCTTTGTGACTTATTTAACTTTAACTTTACCTACCTTCAACGTTTTTACAGAGATATTTTATTCATACTAGATGACGGGGGATACATATAGTTGACGACAACTGCCCTTTCTAGTTCTAATCTAGCCTGTGGGGCACCAAAGGCTATAGTACTAGAACTAGTTCTACCCCTCAGTAGTACACATAGTAGTACCAGTGTAGCCCCAGTCGACTAATGCTGCTACACATGCCATGTTCCATGGTTAATGTTCTGTAACCTTATGTGAGGAATCTTGTCACATTTGTCATGTTTGTCATGTTGTCATGTCATGTGTGTCAATCTCCATGGTGGCTTGTATATATATATATATATATTCGTTTCCATGTACGAAAGTAAAAAACATATTCGTTGTAAGTTTATCAGGAATTTCATTTAACGTTGGAAAGTGGTAAGATTTTTCGCACCAAAGTACGCCACCACGATTGCACCACGACGAAGTGCATACATGTGTGCAAGCAAGGTCACACCGAAACACCTGGAGCAAAGATCCAGTGAACAGGCTGGTGTCTGCCCCCCTCTCCCCTCGCACTTGCTAAAGCAATCTACATGCTAAATGTGAACACTCGTTATAGTATCAGGGCGTGTATAATATATCTGTAGATCTATACACTCCAGATGGTACATGTCGTGGTTTTATGTGGGGATGGTGTCCGCACAATCCTAGTTTGGTTCCCGCAAATGTGTTTTCGCAAATTTATGCGCTAATCTTATCCGAGGTGCTAAACTATGATTGGGCCATGGTGTTAAGAGTATCGCACGTTCTGATCCTTACGGCAGGGGGAAGTATCGCAAATATGAGTGCACAGACACACGTACATACATGTGTACATGTACACATGTATGTACACACAGATTGTTCGTAATCGAGGAAAACTAATCTTTCCTCAAAAATCCTCGGAAATATTCGTACCGGGCCATGATGTTTTTCGAGATGTGCCATTGTAAGCTTGCAGGGACTAATTAATTGTAACAATTTAGTTAAAGACTTGAATAAAGACTTGAATTTGTATGAACTAAGTAAACACGTGTGTGTATGTAAGCTGTATGCAGGCTGTGACCACTACAAACCACATTCCTCGTAAGAATCGCGACAGGTAAATATTCACAGGTGAGTTAACGATTTGAAAACATGAAATCTCTGTACACGTGGCTATTGATCTGAGAATGTAGACGCGTAACGGTGCATTCAGCATAATTCGAGTTGCAGTCGTTATCCAGGGAGTAGGACAAGGAGACTTTAGACCTGTAACGGTGCATTCAGCATAATTCGAGTTGCGATCGTTATCTAGGGGGTCGAGAATAGAAGCAGTAGAAGCGCACTAGTACTAGTAACGTGGAGGACAGCTCAGTGGCAGTTATCACAAACTCTCATTGATTTACTGCCTTGTATCTCCGGTCATACTCATAGTCCGTGTTAAATACTCTGCAGCTAACGACAAGGGTCGGGGGAAGCTGCTTGCTATTACAACACATTGATCAATGTTGATAGACTCCTGAACACATGTCATAGGCGTGTAGTACGCAGCAAGACGGTGCATTGGTGGCTGGTTTACATTAAGAATGTTTATTCTCCTAATCTTCACACCAAAAATTTTACGGGATTGCTTAGATTATGAATGAATTACGAATGGGGGGTGCCCGCGTGCACGGAGATATATACAGTGTTTCCCTTGGCCAAAAAAGTATGTGAAGTGGTAAAAAATTCGGTGTCTGCGTATTTCGAAGTCCAAGGTTGGGGGGGGGGGTTGTTCCGGGCACATGCCCCCCAGAATTTTTTTGAAAAAATGGTGCAATTTGGTGCATTCTAAGCTATTATTTAGATTTTAGCTTAATAAACTGTAGTTTATTGATGGAAGAACAGTGATTTTCATCAGCGAGGTAGTGTTTTAGACAAATTTCTGTGTGGCGACCCACCTCGCGCGTGTCAATGCAAGGGAAGCACTGATATGCCGTGCTGCATGTGTTTATCATGTGTGCTGCTATCAGGTGACTTATGGTGGGCGAACTTTCAGACCCGTCTGCAATCGAAATGAATATTAAAATTTGTAATTTGAAAATAGATGTTTACCTCACTTTCATAATCAGAGCGTATATTTTTGACTGGCGGGGTGCGGATCATGATGGCTGGACTTGGGTTCGACTTTTCAACCCATCCGCAAATCGAAATGGCCGTTAAAGTTTACGAGTCAAAAGTAGTACTAGTAGTACCTTATTTACCATATTTTCGCAATCGGAGGGTATATTTATTAGCTCATCTGACATAGTCAGATGCAGATTGTAGAATCGCATGAGCGTGCGCCCGTCCGGCCGTGCGTCCGTCCGTGCGTCCGTCAACAGTTGGGCACAAGCCTTAACCGGTCAAAGGTCAAATGTCAAGAGGTGTAAAAGAAGGGGGAACATTCCCTCCCTTAACTTAAGGTGTAGGGAGGAAATGCAGAATTGCGGCACAAATCTAAACGGCTCGACCTAGGCTCATGATAGTCGGTGTATAGCATCATGTTAGGAAAAGCCATCACTGTGCCGAAATCGGAGGTCACAGGTCAAAGGTCAATGGGGCACAGGGCAGATTTTAGACATTTTCTGAGGACATGGTCTGACTGAGCGATTGGAAAACTTTTTTGTTTCAGCAGTGACCTACCATTTTTATGGCTTTATTGAAAGGACCATGAAATGTACTTTCCGCTGACATGCGAAGAGTAAGTGTCGGATAACCTTTTGACCCTCTAGAGGAGGGTTAAACATTGATTTGTTGACTGTTAACAAAGGACAACTGCTTTTGCTATTATTAGAGCCCATACCTGTGTGAATGTGAGGCTACAGTTGCACAGTTTAATTGCAAAGGCAAATGTTTGTTGAAAAATTAAGGTTTACGCTCCTTAAATCATATTATTTTCTAAAGCAGTCTGTCTATAGCACCCTGAAGGCTGAATCAGTGAATGCTCGCGTGGGTAGGCAAAAACACGGGGCAGCCCGTGGCTGGCACTATTCTAATCATAATTGTTGCCTGCCAACCTGCAATGCACATGTGTTAACTCACAGCTGAGCGAAATTATCGCCTGCCTGAATATACTTACTTGGATTTTACCCGGTAGGATTTCAGCAACTCCCCAGGGAGCTAGTTAGGGTATCTCAAGAATGGCGATGCCATCTTTGATTATTGATTACACTTGCACGCACCATCTCGCGGCAACTATAGGCCTAGTTTAAATGAGATTTTATTCTCATGTAACTTTGTTAAACGAATAAATAATAAATAGTAGGCCTACCATAGAATATATTTACTTTTCATCTTGAATCTTAACATATATCATGTAGCTATGGCCGTGCGTATCAATTTACCAGTTATGCAAACATAAGCTGTTACCATAGAAATATTAGAGACACTATATATTATTATTTCTATGGCTGTTACACTCAGGGGCATAGGAACGAAGTATTATTGAGGGGGCAGTAAAAGGCATCGTTGCTGTTTTTTTTTTTAATTTATATAATTAAGAGAGAGAGAGAGAAAGTCTAAGATAAAGGGAGAGAGAGAGAGTAGTAAATTGAGACGTGGACAGGAAAATGGTGATACGGTGTGTATGCGAGCGGGAAACGGGGTACAATTAGGTCGTGCGAGATGGTGTGCAAGGGGATGGGAGGTGGGAGGCAGGGGGAGGGAGGTCGAAGGCAGGTGGAGGGAGATGGGAGGTAAGGGGGTGGAAGTGAGAGGCAAGGGGAGTGAAGTGGGAGGCAGGGGGAGGGAGGTGAGAGGCAGGAGGGAGGTGGGACGCAGTGGGGAGGGAGGTGGGAGAGAAGGACCCCCCGCCCTCTCTAATTAACTTGGAGATCCATGCTCATATGTTGAAATCTTTTATGTCAACGTCAATGTCATTCATTAACTTGTATTTGAATTGTTATTATTGTTCTTGTTATTAGAATTAGCCCATAGAGATTAGGTGGGTGCGAAAGTGTAGCTGATATATTTGTTCGAACTGGCTACGAAAGTCAAACAAGAATAAAGAAGACTTATATGTATAAGACGTCTTGCTATGCACAAATGAATTTATCAGCAGAACACCAGACACCAGATGAGCCCTGTCGCACTGCGGCACTTGTTAATATTAATTATTATATATTAATTATTAATATTTATTGATATGTTTGACAGGGATTAATATTATTCGGGCTGTTCTTTGAAAAATAGAAACGGCAAAGCAGCTGCTCCTTCGGCGACTTCGCCAAGAAAAGATGGCGGCCGAAATAATGCGAGATTGTTGGTTTCTGTCGCGAAATAAATATCGTCTGGTGCTAGACCCGATTATCTATTATTTATATATTGTGCAAACCCCTTCTGACAGATATTATAACGTTTTCTCTCTCTCTCTCTCTCTCTCTCTTTGATTCTCTCTCTTTCTCGCTCGCTTGCTCGATCTCTCTCTCGCTCTCTCTCTCTCTTTCTCGCTCGCTCTCTCGCGCTCTCTCTTTTTCTCCCTCTCTCCCCCCCACATATTATTTTTGTGTCCCCCAATAAAAACTCCTGACTCACGATTCTCGCGTTGTCTCTCGTTCCCACCACCAGGTGGCAGCGATGAAGGGCCACGACACGGCGCTGGTGGACGTCAGCGACGAAGTTCTCGCAAAGTCCAAGCTTGCGATAACGAAGAGCCTCGGACGCATACAGGAGAAATTCTCGCAGGACCCCAAGTACGGCTACCTTGAGGTGAGCGCCCCCTGGCGGCGGCGGCAGCGGCGATCGTCTGCGTTGTTCGCTATGAGTGATGCGCGTGCGTGTGAATGGGATTTATTTAGGAGTGGTGCATGTGTGCGTCAACGTGGAGCTTATTAATTGATGTGTCATCTTGTATTTTACACTGGTATGTTATTATCAGACACATGTATGTGTATACGCATGCGTGTGCATACGTACAGATGCACGCGCGTGCATGCGCACACACATAGAGACAGACAGCCACAGACACGCACACACACACACGCTTACGCACGCGCACACAAACAGTGTATATAAATGAAGTTTAAAAATATATATATATACATATATATTTATCATTTTAATCTTATTATATATATATAATATATATAATAACATATGTTTGTTTATATGTATATATATTTTTTTAATTTGCATTTATATATATATATATATACATACATTTTCTACTCATGTGTCCTGCTCGTCATCCGCATCTCGCGCCTCGACTTCTGACCTCATTGTCGCTGCTACCCCAGCTCACACGTAGGTGGCGCTACTGCTTGCAGGGAGCGGAGGTGTTCATGTCGAGCGCTCTCAAGCGGCTGACGCTGACGACGGACATGAAGGCGTTCGTCGAGTCGGCAGACATCGTCATCGAGTCGATCGTAGAGAACATTGACGCAAAGAAGAAGCTGTTCGCGGAGGTCGACAAGGTTGCGGCACCGTAAGTGGCGACGCCATCTAGTGGTAGAAATGTATAGCTATGATATATGTGAAGAACATGGACGCAAAGAAGAAGCTGTTTGCGGAGGTCGACAAGGTCGCGCAGCCGTAAGTGGCGACGCCATCTAGCGGTAGAAATGTACACGTATAGCTATAATATATATCTATGTGTGTGTGTGTGTATATATATATATATTTATACATATATACGTTATTTATATATATATATATACGTGTGTAAAACACATGGGAGTCCATGCAGATATAGAACAAATATAGAAAAATAGAATCTCTATCCCTCCCTTCCTCCATTCCTCCCCCTCCCTCTCTGTCTTCATCTCTCCACCTATCTCTACATCTCTCTCCCTCTCTCTACATCTCTCCCCCTTTCTCTACATCTCTCTACCTCTCTCTACATCTTTCCCCTATCTCTACATCTCTCTACCTCTCTCTACATCTTTCCCCTATCTCTACATCTCTCTACCTCTCTCTACATCTTCCCCCTATCTCTCCCTCTCTCTACATCGCTCTGCCTTCCTCTCTCTGCAGTCCTGCCAACCCTTACGATTTCCCGTATTCCTTACGAATTCCATGATGTTTCTACGAATGTACGATCAAACTGAAAAACTTACGATTTTTTACGACTTGTGAAAATTAAGGTTTTTTACATTGTGAGCCGAGAAATATCTGGCGATTGTGGGCGCAGTCACGTTGTTCTCGCGTGATCTAGAGTTAGTCCCATCATTCATTGCGCGCATAACATACAAACAAAATGGCCGCCTGCTGCAAGAAAAGAAAAGCCTTACTATTTTCTTGAATCACAGGTTGGCAGGTCTGTCTCTGTCTCTCCCCCTCCCTCCTTTCTCACCTCCCTCCTCCTCCCCCTCCCTCTTCCTCCTCTGTCTACATCTCTCCCCCTCCCTCTTTCTCACCTCCCTCCTCCTCCCCCTCCCTCTTCCTCCTCCTCTCTCTACATCTCTTCCCCTTTCAACATCTCTCTCCCTCTCTCTACATCCCTCCCCCTCTATCTACATCTCTCTCTCTTCCTCTCTCTGTCTCTCTCCCTCCTCCCCCTCTCTCTTCCTCCTCTTCTCTCTACATATCTTAACATCTCTCTCCCTCTCTCTACATCCCTCCCCCTCTCTCTACATCTCTCTCCCTTCCTCTCTCTGTCCCCCCTCTTTCTCCCCCTCCCTCTTCCTCCCCCTCCTTTCCTCCCCCTCTCTCAACATCTCTCTCCCTCTATCTACAGGAAGTGCATATTTGCGAGTAACACGTCTTCGCTCCCCATTGCTGAGATCGCCTCCGCCACCAACCGCAAGGACCGCTTTGGCGGACTCCACTTCTTCAACCCCGTGCCCGTCATGCGTCTGCTAGAGGTATGTAAGCCCCCGGCCAGCGCCGCCCCCTGCCTGCGGCGCCCCCTGTCCGCGGCGCGTCCGGTCCGCTGGGAAGGGGCGCTCGCACGTGGAGGTGGCGTCCGTGGTAACTATTGATTGACTTGCGAAAGGTTCGTACATACGAACGATCGTATGTATGAAATGTCGTATGTTCGAACGATGGTATGTATGAAATGTCGTATGTTCGAACGATGGTATGTATGAAATGTCGTATGTTCGAACGATGGTATGTATGAAATGTCGTATGTTCGAACGATCGTATGTATGAACGAACGTATGTACGAACAATCATAAGTATGAACTGTTGTATGTATGAGCAATCGTCAGGGTTCTGCCCAAGATTTTTTAGTGCCGGGCGCATCCAGTTGCGACGGGTGCAAGCGCCGTAGGCGCGAAGCCACAATCTAGGAGGGTCCGGGGGCATGCCCCCCCTGAAAATTTTTGATTTTTGATAGTCTGAAACTCAATTTCCTGCATTCTAAAGCCTATATATCAAACTTTTTTTCTTTTTTTATATAAAAAAAAATATAGTGCCGGGCAGAGATATATATAGTGCCGGGCGGCAACCGCGAGTGCCGGGCACACCCGCCCACCGCCGCCCACCGTGGGCAGAACCCTGAATCGTATATACGAACAACCATACGTATGAACTGTCGTATGTATGAACAATCGTATGTACGAACTGTCGTAACAACGGCAAAGCACTGCTCCTTCGCGACTTCGCCAAGAGAGAATGGCGCGCGAATAATGCGAGATTGTTGGTTTCTGTCGGCGAAATAAATATCGTCTGGTGCCTAGACCGCGCATTATCTATTATTTATATATTGTGCAACCCCTTCTGACAGATATTATAACGTTTTCTCTCTCTCTCTCTCTCTCTCTCTTGATTCTGCTCTCTTTCTCGCTCGCTTGCGCTCCGATCTCTCTCTCGCAGTCCCTTCCTCTTTCTGCTCGCTCTCTCGCGTCTCTCTCTTTTCTCGCCTCTCTCCCCCCCACATATTATTTTTGTGTCCCCAATAAAAACCCCCTGACTCACGATTCTCGCGTTGTCTCTCGTTCCCACCACCAAGGTGGCAGGGATGAAGGGCCACAACACTACGCTGGTGGACGTCAGCGACGAAGTTCTCGCAAAGTCCAAGCTTGCGATAACGAAAGAGCCTCGGACGCATACAGGAGAAATTCTCGCAGGACCCAAGTACGGCTACCTTGAGGTGAGCGCCCCCTGGCGGCGGCGGCAGGCGGCGATCGTCTGCGTTGTTCGCTATGAGTAATGCGGCGTGCGTGTGAATGGGATTTATTTAGGAGTGGTGCATGTGTGCGTCAACGTGGAGCTTATTAATTGATGTGTCATCTTGTATTTACACTGGTATGTTATTATCAGACACATGTATGTGTATACGCATGCGTGTGCATACGTACAGATGCACGCGCGTGCATGCGCACACACATAGAGACAGACAGCCACAGACACGCACACACACACACGCTTACGCACGCGCACACAAACAGTGTATATAAATGAAGTTTAAAAATATATATATACATATAAACAAACATATATTATTATATATATATATACATATGTTTGTTTATATGTATATATATTTTTTTAATTTGCATT